GTGTGTGTGTGTGTGTGTGTGTGTGTGTGTGTGTGTGTGTGTGTGTGATGCCATCGATGTGCTGGGCTGACACTGATGGTAGGCGTCAGGTAATCACCCTGGCGACATTACCTTGGCAACTGGACTGTCGCTGGGAGAGACAGTTGAGGCACACCTCTGTCGGTGCAGGATGACAGGGTGTCCCCTCAGGACAGGCAACCTGGAGAGATAACGTGTGTGTGTGTGTGTGTGTGTGTGTGTGTGTGTGTGTGTGTGTGTGTATCTCTGTGGACTTTGAATTAGCAAAGATCTCATTTTCGAATCCAGACAAGCACACACTCAATTACACCCACGCAAACATGTGTGAGTAAACATACACTGCAAAGTAATAAAGGCTTAAAGTTGTTCTTAGAAAGAGATACTGACACGTGCCCACAGTTAATGTTTCTCTGTCTCACAAACACGGAAATACATACTCACAGACTCCCATCGGGGGGGAGTAAGGGAGAGAGGGCCAGGGCGAGAGAGAGAGGGCCAGGGCGAGAGAGAGAGAGAGAGAGAGAGACTTGAAGTGACCTGACAACACCTGTTAAACAGAGAACATCACACACACATACACACACACACACTCCCATCACACGTTGCTGTGCTGTGTAGTGGATGGATAGCAGACGACAACCTCTGAGTCACAACTTGCATATTGAAAACAAACATCAGACGCGACACCAAATGCCACCTCGTCAGAAAACACATCCTCATCAAAGTCAAAGCAGGGGAAACGCAGCTCGGAGCACAGTTCAACGTTAGCTCGGAGCGAGCTCATATTTCTAAATGATGAGCCGATATATTGCGGTGACAGGAGAGGACCGAGGCAAACACCACCTGTCGTACCTCCAAACACTCGTGTCTAACGCGCGGCTATCACCTTTAACTGACCCGTCGCACCCAGAGGGAGAGCTGACAACATCTGCCTCGCGCACACACACACACACACATGCAAATGCACACAAACTCTGAAGTCTAAAGTAATCCAGTCTTCCCTCAATCCCCCCCCCCCACCCCCCGCTGTGAGACGAGAGGACAGGGCAAAAACGTTGAGGGTTGTAACAGGATATAAACTTATACCAAAGGCAAGACATACTGACACATAGGATCACATAAACACAAATGCAAACACATTTCAGTCCAGCCTGAGCAGTGTCGGGTCACAGAGTCGACACACATGTATGTATTGAATGCACACACACTGAAACAGGTTACTACACATACAGTAGAGAACAAAAAAAACACAGAATAAGAATAAAAAAAGACAAGTAAAAGAGGGAGCAAAGGAGCCAGCAGATATGAAAACACAGCGGAGAGACGGCGGAGGAGGAAAATGGTCAACCTCGACTGTGCTGATAAGGCGAGAGCTAGTGTGTGTAAGATATGTAGGCCTTAAGACAAAGCTGCATTAAATCTGTGATTCGGGGCATGCCAAGACAATGAATGATGTACTGCGTTTGCCCCGAGGCTTTATTATCGCCTGTGTATACGTTTCCCAAACTGATTATACCGCACCTCCTCTCAGCAAAACAAATTTGTTCGCCTGTTCTTTGGGTGCATACGTAACTGTGTTAGTGTGTGTGTTAGTGTGTGTGTGTAGCCCGACTCTCAGACAAAGACGAACAATGTATCTGGTGCGGGAGCTCTGCGATGTAAGAGACAAGCAGAGAGAGGAAAACAGAGTGCTGCAGAACACAGACTGCACAGCCTGAGCAGAAATCACAGCTGGAAGATATGCAGTAAAGACTCGTCAAAGACGGCGGCGTGTTCCGAGAGGAACAGCGGGTTCAGGGAGGACGCCGAGAGAAAATCCAGGTAACCTTCACATCACACATCACAACACCTGATTACTCGCCAAAACCAGGCACTCTTTCTGCCTGCTTTCTCCACCGTGTCAATCAGAGAGGAGCTGATGAGAAAAACTCTTTCAACTTTTTCATTAGAGGTGTTCCAATTAACTGTTTTGTGGAATTCACATGGAAGAGGCGGCCGCATGGCTGAACAGCCTTCAGATAAAAGTTAGGAGGGAGCTGCAGCTCCATTGATGTGCGGTTCAATTGTAAAACAGCCCGCAGGACATGTGTATCCGTTATATTTTAGTTCCCAACAATGTAATTTACTCCATGACCGCTTCCCTTCGATCCTCAGTTCGTGTGTTTTCACCTTCATCGCATCGCCTACAAACTTTTCTTCTGCCGTCTTCTGCTCGATGTGTCGACTGTAACCGACAGACAGCAAACATACAGAAACAAACTGGGGTTAGAAGAACCAACAAAGGGAGTGGCAGAATGTTGAATTTGGCAGTAGTTAGATATAAAGGTAGCTAAATGTATCTTCCCAAAGTTTAAAAAAAAGGGAAAAAAGGAATAATTCTGAAGTTTTCACTTTTTCCCTGACCTCTCAGCCGCATCATATCCAGAGTACGTCATTTCATCTATTTACACTTTGTAGTTAAGCCAGCTGAGACCACACACACACACACACACACACACACACACACACACACATCTCGCTGCATCTGTCCACCACACGCAAAACTGAAATATTTTCCAAAAGCTGGTAATATTTCAAAGACATAGGGTTTCAGCATCATTTCTCTCGCAGTTGAGTGTGTCTTTACTGATTAAGGAAACACAAGGCAAACTGTAGCACACTCTGCAACATGCGAAAGACACACAAATACAAGTGCCATTATTTATGGAGGACCGCTATCAAAAACACACACCCCGGCAGCCCGACGCACGCACACACACACACACCTTGTGGTGTCTTGGGGCTGGTGGAGCGGTAAATGTTGCAGTACTTCAGTGTGACAGGAAACACTGTGTTCGTGTGCTTATCATCGGTGCAGCCTGGACCAGACGGCCCTCTCCTACATACTGATGTATGGCTTCTTAATTAGAGCTATAGGCTTCACTCAGAAACAGAGCAGTGTACTGATATACAACGACATACACAGACGCACAACTCATCCGCGAAAACAAAATAACTTAACCGAAAATTATCATCTAAAAATATGCGATTCCTTGTTTTTTGATTATGTATATTTCAACTAATAGAACTAAATCATGTGGAAAGAGTGACTCTCAGCATACCTCAGCTCTAAATCACTGATATTGTTATTAACGGTGCTAAATGTGTGTGTTTGTGTGTGTGTGTGTGTGTGTGTGTAACCTTTTCTCTGCCTCTTACCACTTGAAGTGGTCCGTGTGTAATATACGTACTCTGCATCGCCCTAAAGCTGTTCCTGAGTTATGTGCTCATATATTTTGATATAGACCCCTATTACGCTGCTCTCCATAACTTCACATTGGATAACACATCTCCGAGTTATTAATGAATTGAGATGAAATGAGGTAAACTGGGAATGGAAAATAAAAACAATCACATTAATAACCAGTGTTTGTTTGCATTCTGCAAATTAATTTCCTGCTCGCGCATGGCTGAGATGCCACTCAATCTTAATTTGTTGGATAATAGTCATGGTAATGGGCCAGGTACATACGCTGTAATGGAATGCGGTGAGAAAATAAATGCTATTTTGTGTGTGTGTGTGTGTGTGTGCGTGTGTGAGCTATCCAATCCATTTTAAATGAATTTGGAGATGGGCATGCATTTTTAATAGTCGTATACACAAAAACAATCACACACACACACACACTAGGGCCAGTATCATTTCTTGGTTGCCTGTGTTTTGTTTGTCTCTTTGTGCCTGTTCACTGTGTGTCTGCTGTCCCCTTTAAGAATGCCATAAAGCCCAAATAAAATCCAACTTGTTTTCTATTATTGCAAATCATAAACAAAATCACAATTGATGTGTGTGTGTGTGTGTGTGTGTGTGTGTGTGTGTGTGTGTGTGTGT